AAGAACTTTTAGACCAAGAAGAATGATCGTTAAAGGTAGCGAAAGGGTGACGGCTCACTTGCATCCTGCTCCTTTAGTTCTGCATGCTTTTCCAAAAGAGTTTTCCTAGATTCTTCAGTCTTCTTCTCTTCTTCTTGCCTCCGTCTTTTCGCTAACATTTCTTCCTCTTGCTGCGCGGATGTTGGAGCAAGCACATGTTTCAGCAAAGCTCGGCGGTGCATCTGAAAAATTCAGTGCTACGATTTCTAGTTTCGCCGTTCTTTTTCTTTTCTTTCCACTTCCGTCGTATAAGTGATGAACGAAAAAAGGCCAGTATGGCCGAACTCACTTTTTCTTTTCTTCTTTGTGCTGCCGAAAGAAACATCTCATCCGCTATATCATCTTCATCTGAGGAAAAGTTCATGCCCTCCTTTTTGCGTTTCTGTTCCTCTTCCAATATTTGCTGCCTTCTTTGCTAAAACAGAAGCCCCAACTTTTCAACGAACCAAAAGCAACACAATTTCATTGTTTTACCTCATACTTGCGTATCATTGCCTCTACATCTTCCTTGGAATTTTCGTCAGCTTGCACCATCTAAACAACTAAGGTCAGTCAAGAAAACAAATTAGCGAAACATTTTTTCATAAAAAGGACAAATGCGAAAACATGCGCCAACCAAATTTATGGTCCGCACTTTTGCGCGAGTCAGACGTACCATTGCAGAACAGCGATGACAGTTCTGCTGTTCGCTCCAGTTTTCATGCATTTCAAAGTCGTGTTCCGAGTTGTGAAATCGTCTTATCGGTTCGTCTGCCCATCGATCCTTCTAGATAGTATCTTCCTTTATTCTTTCACCTTTCGCTGTATACTGTGCAGCGCTATCAAGCCTCTAACAGCAAATAGGTCGTTATTTTTTGCGGTAACCATGACAACTTTGTTTTTTGGCCACCTGAGGAGTAAATCTAGCCAAAATTGGGTTCGCACATGCTTCTTCCACTGGTAACTATTGAAACCTTTTGTCAAGTTGTCAGTTTACAGTACACAACCCTCTGTGCAATATTCTTGAATCACTTCACTATTGGTGGTCCGAACGTTTTTCCGGGTAACGAAGTCGCGGATCTTGTGCGCGACATAAAATTCAAATCATCTTCGCGAAGTATAAGCGAGAATTCTTGCCTATTACTGATGAATGATGGTACAAATTACATCACTGTCTTCTTTATCGCA